TCCACCCTGCATACTCCCCTCCCCCACCATTCCCCCCTTTATCTCATGACCACGTGTCTCAAGTTCTTTAGATTCTATATTTCCCATACTATTCTTACCCTGCCCCCTGTTTTCTCCCCACCTTCTATACTACTTATTTTCTGTACCTTCTCCCCCCTTCTCCTCCCACTCCTCTGTTGCTAACTCTCCATGTAGTCTTCATTTCTGTGGTTCACTCCTGATCTAGATGTTCTCTTAGTTTGCTTTTGTTTTAGGTGTGGTTGTTAATAACTGTGAGTTTGCTGTCCTTTCATTGTTCATCTTCTTCTTTTTCTTAGGTAAGTCACTTAACATTTCATATAATAAGGGCTTGGTGATGATGAACTCCTTGAATTTGATCTTACCTGAGAAGCACTTTATCTGCCCTTCTATTCTAAATGAAAGCTTTGCTGGATAGAGCAATCTTGGGTGTAGGTCTTTGGATTTCATGACTTAGAATACCTCTTTCCAGCCCCTTCTTTCCTGTGAGGTCTCTTTTGAGAAATCAACTGACAGTCTGATGGAAACTCCTTTGTAGGTGACTGTCCCCTTATCTCTTGCTGCTTCTAGGATTCTCTCCTTCATTTTAATCTTGGCTAATGTAATGATGATGTGCCTTGGTGTGTTCCTTCTTGGGTCCAACTTCTGTGGGACTCTCTGAGCTTCCTGGACTTCCTGGAAGTCTAATTGCTTTGCCAGATTGGGGAAATTCTCCTTTATTATTTGTTCAAATAAGTTTTCCACTCATGGCTGTTCTTCCTCCCCTTCTGGTACCCCTATAATTCTAATGTTGGAATGTTTAAAGATGTCCTGAAGGTTTCTAAGCCTCTCCTCATTTTTTTTGAATTCTTGTTTCTTCATTCTTTTCTGTTTGGTCATTTTTTTCCTCCTTCTGGTCCACTCCTTTGACTTGAGTCCCAGTTTCCTTTCCATTACTATTGGTTTCCTGTGCATTTCCATTCATTTCAATTAGTTTAGCCTTCACATGTTCCTTTAATTTGTGACTAAAATCAGTTCTGTGAGCATTCTGATCACCAGTGTTTTGAACTGTGCATCTGAAAGTTTGGCTACTTCTTGGTCACTTAGAATTATGGGCTCTGGGACTTTGAGTTCTTCTTGAGCCATGTTTGGTCTGTTTATGCCCATTAAGTATGAGGAGTGGAGCCTTAGGTGTTCACCAGGGTGGGGCTGTCCGGGTGGCTGGTTCATGAAGCTGTATGTGGGGGCGGGGTCAGAGCGGGGCAATAGTGGTCCCCTCTGCTGCTTCCCACTGCTGGGGCCTGCACGGTCTGTCTTACTGCTCACTCCTTTGAAGGCTTACCTGCGCGCAAATGTGTGACCATAGTCAGCCTGCTGCCTTGCGCCCTCACTGGGTTCACCTGTTGCAACCCCACACCTGGGGATTCACCAACCGCCACCTGCACACCTGGGTCGGTCTGGGTGGCACCTGGGTTGGTCTGGCCGAGTTTTCCTGTGCAAACCTGCTTGCCAGCCACTGGCTCTACCCCTCTTACTGGTCTAGCTGAAGGGTTCCTTATTGTTGGACTTCGGTAGTTTAATTTTCTGTGTTATGGCTGCGTATTTGTTTTACTAAAACTTTGTTGTCTTTAAACTTGGTTGTGTGAGAAGGCATAGCATCTCCACCCACACCTCCATCTTGGCGGAAGTCCTGTGTTTGCACTTTTGAGTTAGATTAAATAGATATCTCTCCAATCTCAAAAAGGTGGCCTATGCAGACCATATGCTGGCTGGTCTTGGCAGACTGGTTGGAATTGGAGCAGCTGGATTTGGTGCCTGGTGTGCTGCTTGGCCAGAAGGAGTGGGTTATGGGTAGGGCAGCCTGGTGTACATATGTGTGCAGTATCTCCCTGTTGTTCTGGCTCCCCATGGAATTGGGTGGGGAAGCCTAATGTGTGCATGCTTCCTTGCTCTTCTAATCCAGGTGGGGTGACACTGTATGCATATGGCACACCCTGCTGCTATTGTCTATTGTACAAGCAGTGTGTGGGTGGAACTGCTCTGTGTGTATAGGCTGCACTGTCCTACTGGTTCTGCACTTTCTCTGGGTACGGAAGCCCTGTGTACAGGCACTGCCATGCCTTGCAAGCTCCACAGTTTCACTGAGCATGAAAGCTCTATGTGCACTTACAGTCCAGTGGGTGTGCACAGCAGCACCCTAATATTCCAGCTGTATCAATTTCCGGGTGAAGGGGCCCTGTGTGTGCATGTTATGGCTCCTGCTTGTTTATTTGGGATGTAGCTCTGTGAGGGGTGGCTAGGTATGTGGTACAGTGGCTCTGTAGGTTGGCCAGAGCACCTGGATAGAGCTTCTGCCCATTGTCCAAGTGCAGGGGAAAGTTGAACAATGGAACTCACTGGTTTCTTCAATCCTGGAGAGCATACTCAGCTCCCAGTGCTCTTTTGGTTCCCCAGCCTTCTTTATGTGGTCTCCTCTTTTTTTGTTGTGTACGGGCTTTTCAGTTGGCCTTTAATTGGCTCTCAGATGTCTCTTAGGAGGAATTGCTCTAAATATAGGTACATTTGATATGTTTTGGGGTGAGCTCAGTGATCTCCTTTACCACCATCTTGGACCCACCTTACATCACATTTTGATTATCCAGTCATCTGTCAATGAACACTAAGAAGCAGGCTCTTGGACAGCATCCTGCATGACTGGGAGTGTTCACTATACTCACTTTCTCCTGTGGGAGAAATCATGGCTGAGGGCATCTCTCTTAGCATTGAGCTGTGCTGCTTTTGGGGAATGATAACATGGGTAAATTGAAGCTATGCTTACTTTCTTCAGAGCATCTATTCTTGGATTTTTTTCTCTAGTGGGGCACTATAACTCCTCCTCCAGCTTTTTGTACTCTCACAAAGTATTCTCATCTGTGGGTGATTGTCACAGTCATTGTTTCTGTGGGGACATGGGGGCTGAAAACTCCTATTCTGCCATCTTGCTTATGTCACTCCATGAGATTTATGCTAGTACATTACCTCTACTTGCTTGTAGTTTATAAGAGAAAAAAAGAATTGAGGTGGGACTGATTCAAAGTAATATATAAAAAAGGTCAAATTCAGAAACTTGTAATTAAATTAGAAATGGAATGCAGAGTTGGGAACACTTAAGTTTAGATAAAGGAGGTTGAAAGCTTTCCAGGTCATGGAATCAATGAGACTAAACAATTCTTAGTTATTTACAAAAGTATGAACCTACAAATATACTCATAGTTGGAACTGTAGCTGAACATTCGAAGGAGGGTAAGGATATAAGAAACATTGCAAAATTAAAACAGTAGATCTTGAGAAGTGACTCGAGGATGAGAATGGATTGTGGGCAGTAGTAAGTAAAAATGAACTGTTCTTGAGTCCAGCTCAGTAAGGGTGTGAACAGTTGGGAAAAGTCTTATCTATGGGGAGAACTATGTCGTATGAAGAAAGAGTGTAAACAATACTCAGACATTGGAATGTAAAGCCAAAATTGGGTGTTAGGAGTGAATACCTGAAAACACTAAAAAAAAAGAACCCAAAAACAACCCTTGTAAAATCAACATTTGACTTCCAGGGAATGGAAATACCAATGACATCACTAGCTGGGAGTGTGCTGTTTTGTCCACTGTGCTATACAGTCTACATCTTTATAGTGTTTATAGAGACAAATCATTGTACCTCTTATCCTATTAAAGACACATGCTTAAAAGAAGAAAGAGAAAATAAGTGCAGGAGGGGTTAGGTAGGAACAATATCAGAGAGACAGAATAAGGCAGCAGTGGGAACCCATGCAATTGTGAATTGAGGTGCAGTCAACACTGAAGAGGCATTTCTAATTGAGAATTGGGTAACAAGCTTTTTTTACTTGTGTCCTGGAATGTTCGTTTTGCTGAGGGCTCTAAAGATGACATACTTTATGTTTGGAGCATCTATACTTTTGTGTTTGAGTGTCTAGGTCTGGATTCAGATTGTTGAAATTTGAATCATTTAGAAGCACCTATCATTTGTGTTATCTTGAGAATGTTACTTATCATACTTACCATCTGATGTTTGATTTTTCCACTGGGGGTGTAATAATAAATATTTTACTGGCTTATTTGAGTATTAAATGGAATATTTATATAAATCTCTGAAAATAGTGCTATTATTACACAGTTTATATAGGCTCTTACTCAAAGAACAAATAATACTAAGTTGTAGAACGAAGTCATTTCTATGAGCAACTGGTGAGCTTTTCTATATAAGTGTGAATATTTTCAATCCATACAGTAAAACTACTTTTTATTGTCACTCAGCAAAATGCTTATGATCAAAATGTTTGATCAAAGGCTTTGGTAGCCTTAACCAATATTATGAGAACAGTAAAGGAAACCAATAAAAACCTGGACTTATTGAATATCTTTTAGAAATCCAGATGGCTTAATTTCTTTCTTTTTATTCTTCCCTCCCTCTCTCCCCCTCTTCCTCCCTCCCCCTCTTCCTCCCTTCCCCTCTCCTGCCCTCCTGCCCTCCCTTCCTTTCTCTCTCTCTCTCTTTTTCTTTCTTTCTCTTTCAACAAATCAACATACAACAAGTGCTGGCAAGGTTGTGGAGGAAAGGGAATCCTAGTACACTCACTATCGGTTGGAATGCAGACTGGTACAGCCGCTGTGGAAAACAGTATGGAATTTCCTCAGAAAACTAAAAATGGAACTGTCTTTTGATCCAGCAATTCTACTGATGGGATTATACCCTGAGAATCCTGAACACCAATTCAAAAGAACCTATATACTCCAATGTTCATAACAGCACAATTTTCAATAGCAGGGTGCTTAGTTTCACTTAATTAAAAATACTTTCCTAATTTGAAACAATTAAGAAAATATGGAAATTTTACATCTTGGTTTGGTTCAGACTTGGATTTTATGAATTACAGACAATTTATTAGCAGGAAGTCTCACATCTGAATTGTTCATCAAAGTGAATTATAAATGTATACTTTTTTTTTTTAGGTATAGAGATTATCCAGATTATGTGGGAGCAACATTTCCTGGAAAGATGTGTATTACTAATTACTCTGCAGGGATTGCTTTGGTATGTAATTATTTATGTATTGATAGGATTAGGGTAGGAGGTAGGGGTGGGTGGGGCAGGGGAAAGTGGTAGGGGCAAGGTGGAGACAACCCTACTTGAACAACAATAAAAATTATATGTTGAAAAATTAATCAACATTTTATAGTTTACATATGCATTTATTTTCAATTCCTGTTAAAAATTGAAGTGTGTGGAAGGAAGAGTCTTGTAGAACAAGTATCTTGTTGCCATTACTTGGAAGTTAAAGTGAAATAAAAATATAAGTACACATACACTCTTTAAAATACAGAATACTAAACACGAAAAATTATCTGCAAAGAAATTTCTGAAACCTAAATAAGTTTTTGATTGTAGACTTAAAGTTGGAGAAATAGTCTTACAGATAAGATAGCTTCAAAATCAAAACAAATGATCAAAAGTATAATAAAAGTTTTTAAAAATACTTGAAACAATATTAAGAAGAAACTTTTATGTATATTTTAATGTTTATAGTACTTAGCCCTGGCTGGTGTGGCTTGGTGGATTGAGCACTAGCCTGGGAACCAGAGGGTTGCAGGTTTGATTCCCAGTCAGGGCACATGCATTGGTTGTAGGCCAGGTCCCCTGTAGGGGGTGTGCAAGAGTCAACCACATACTGATGCTTCTCTCCATCTCTTTCTCCCTCCCTTCCCCTCTCTCTAAAAGTAAATAAAGAAAATCTTTAAAAAATAAACTTAAAAACTATAGTACTTAAATATTTTATATGTAAATAAATTATTGGTGCAGTTAGGTGCAGCATTGAAAGGTAAAGTAATTTGAGCCACTTACCCACACAATTTATTCTTTTAAAAAGCAAGCTTACAAAGTATATATTTTAATTAATTGATTAATTATTGTTGTCCCATTTAATTATTAATTAATTAGAGTTGTCCCCATTTTCCCCTGCTTTGCTCTCCCCTGCCTCATCCATTCTCTGTTCCCAAAGACAATTCCCTTCTGCTGTCCTTGTCCATGGGTCCTTTGCTCATAGGTTCTTTCCCCTGTATCTCTCTCCCATCTCCCCTCTGGTCCCTGTCAATTTGTTCTTCATTTCCATGTCTCTGGTTCTTTATGATTGTTTGTTTGCTTGTAAGTACTATATATTTTTAAATTAGAAAATAATTTTTGTTCATGACCATTTTTTAAAGTGCATAAGGGAACAAACATATAAGGAAGTTCATATAATCTATCATCTTCACATTCAGGAAGCAATCACTAAACATATTTAGCCCTCCATTATATGTATTCTTATTATTTTATTATTTATAATAATATTTATATTATTTAAATATAACATAGCACTATATATGTGTTTATACATATGATATAATTATGCATATTATACATATGCTACATTTTAATATTTATACTTTATTATTTATAATTATTTAAATAATAACTATTTACCGTAGGCACTATCCATTCATTATATGCTATGAAAAACAAAATAGCTGTATAATTCTCATATGCATTTTTTTGGTTTACAAAGTTTATCATTTATTTTGTAGAACTTTTGTACTTTGCAAGTTGATTTAATAATTAAACTAGTAGATAGACTTTCACAGTATTTTGAGCATATAAATAATGTTAACTCTTGAATAAAGAAATATATTGCTGTGCTAGTAAAGCTTTGAAAAGAGAATCTTTTAGGCATCAGAGTCTAACAGAGCTTCTTAATTTTTTTTAACTTCTAAGGGTGAAACCAACTGCCAAAGGAAATGAAACTTCCTCTTCCTCTTCTTGGAATTCTTTGCTATTTTTCTGGAATAACTTATGAGTTGTCTTTATTTTTATTTTTTATTGTTTAAATTTATTTTATTTTCTTTTAATTGTTCAAGTACAGTCTTCTGCCTTTTACCCCCATTCCAGCCCACCCCCCATCCCTCCCCACCTCCCTCCCATTTCAACCCCCGCCTTGTTTTTGTCCATGTGTCGTTTATACTTGTTCCTGCAAACCCTTCCCCTTTTCCCCTGAAATTCCCTCCCCTCTCCCCTCTGGTCACTGTCTGTTCTCTATTTCAGTGTCTTTGGTTGTATTTTGCTTGCTTGTTTGTTTTATTAATTAGGTTCCTGTTAAAGGTGAGATCATATGGTATTTGTCTTTCACCACCTGGCTTTCCAGGTGGTGAAAGACAAATATGCTAAGCTTATTTCGTTTAGCATAATACTTTCCAGTTGCATCTAGGCTGTAGCAAAGGGTAGGAGCTCTTTTTTTTTCCCTCCCTCTGCTGTGTAGAATTCCATTGTGTAAATGTACCATAGTTTTTTGATTCATTCATTAACTGATGGGTACCCAGCTTGCTTCTAACACTTGGCTACTGTAAATTGTGCTGCTATGAACATTGGGGTGCACAGGTTCTTTTGGATTGGTGTTCCAGGGTTTTTAGGATATATTCCTAGCAGTGGAATTGCTGAGTCAAAAGGCAGGTCCATTTTTATTTTTCTGAGAAAATTCCATACTGTTTTCCATAGTGGTTGTACCAGTCTGCAATCCCACCAACAGTACACTAGGGTCCCCTTTTCTCCACAACCTCTCCAACATTTGTTGTTTGTTGCTTTGTTTATGATGGCCATTCTGACCAATGTAAAGTGGTATCTCATTGTGGTTTTAATTTGCATCTCTCTGATAGCTAGTCATTTGAGCATCTTTTCATGTGTCTTGGACCTTCTGTATGTCTGAAAATAGTGGGTATAAATGGCAAACATGAAGTTATTTTATTAATGAAGATACTTTTGCATTCCTACCACATTTGATTGATAACTTGGCTAGGTATGAAATCCTAGTTCTCACATCTTTCTGTATTGGCATTTTGAAGATCAATATATTGTGTTTTTGTCAAGTTATTTTGAAGTGAAATGATGACAAGGTAACTTTGGGGTGCTTGTAAGGAAGGAGAGGTCAGTACCATGTTTGGATCAGTGAAGGTTTAGAAACAAACCCTGGTTTAGATGTTCTGGAGGGTACATGATTGTTGAGTTGAAGTGCTAGAGGGTTGATTAGGAAAGGAATTAGGTGGTTAGTCTGTAATATGAGCTTTATAGAGATGATGGATTGGCCATACGTATTGATAAAGACCTGTCAACAAGATTTAGGATGTGAACCATTGGTTGAAGCAGGGTAGAATAATTGGGGGAGATGGATTCAAGGAATTATTCTTTCACAGAGCTTTTATACTTATATTTTTACAAAGCTTTTCTTGTTTAAAAGCTTTTATGCATTTACCACAATTGAATATTTCTCTAAACAAGAATTGTTTTTATGTTTTAAGCACAATGTAAATTATATCATAATGTGCCACTTGAATTTTTGGTTTCCACTTATAATTTTGAGATTTATTTATTTACTTAACATGTGAAATTGAGTTAATTCTAAAAGACTTTATTTTCATTCCACAGATAATTTTATTCCAGGTGCTATTAGGCCTAATGAACATACAAAGATGAATGTGCAATGTAATTGAATAAATATAAATCAGTGAAGCCTAGTACAGTACATAGTAAGAGCATAATAAATCTTAACTCTTATTATCATCATTGTCATCCTTATCATTTGTATCATTGTTTCTGTCATTAGTTAAGGACCCCTCCACCTAGTAGGGGTTCAATGACATGGATAAGTGGCATGCACATTTTTGTAATAGAAGGCAGAGAGTATACAGATTATATTGCTGGTACAGATAAAAGTCTATAAGAATCCAAGGAAAGAAGGAAAGAAAAATTTCAGACTAGATAAGCATTTAAGACATATAATAGGGAAGTCGAACACCTTCATATCCTCAGTATTGTGTAAGGCTTTATTTTTTAATAGAAGTTTTAGCTTCACAGCAAAATTGAGAGGAAAGTACAGAGACTTTTTCTATACCCTCCCTCACAGTTCACATTCCACACAATAGTGGTACATTTGTCATAAATGATGAACCCATTGAGGCATTGCAATCACCCAAAGTCTATAGTTTACATTATGCTCACTCTTGGTGTTGTACATTCTGTGAGTTTTGACAAATGTATAGTGACATATGTCTGCAATTCAGCATCACTCAGCGTAGTCTCACTGTACTCAGAATGCTTTGTGTCTAATTTTTTATGCATGTGTGATATTTCATTATAGAAATATGCCTCCCTGCCTCCTTTATGCTTTTCATGAGCATTTGGTTGTTTCTATTTTTGCCATTATGGACAATATTTAATAAACATCTCTATACATACCTCTTCCAATCTCCATTTGATCTTTTTTTAAAAAACTGCCCCAAACCAGAACCTCAGTTTTCAGATAGGCAATACTCTTGTTCATATAGAAGCCTTCATTTTTTCCACTGTTTTTATAGCTAGTTTTTTCTCAGTTTCTTTTATTGTGATGAAAGCAAAAATAACATTTCTAGGAAGCTTCCTTAAAGGGGTATTACCCATTTTATTGTGGCCTTTCTCCAATTTGCTATAAATGCCATATGAAGACAAGTTCATCACCTAGTCAGAATGGAGTAGAGTGGTGGAAGGAGCCCAGATTCTCCAAAACCAAGAAGTTGCTTGAAGTTGCTTTTATGTGTGTGAAAAATTTTTTTCTACTCTGTCATTAATATTTTGAATTTTCTTTCTACATCAAATCAAAGCAATTCAGGACTATTTCTTGTAAACAGGATAGAACCAGATCAATTTTCTCTGTCCAATATAAAAATATATGTATTTTAATTATTTAAGTTTCAGTCATGAACATTCCTGCACTTACTGATATTTCTAGAATTGATGCTATCACCTTATTTTACATTTTTCTGTTTTTTCTTTGCCTCCACTGCTTTCCAACTGTCCAATGTCACTAAAGGAATTTATAAATGATATACTTTATGAAAAAGGAAAGTGATATGAAATGGGAGCTCTGAGAGTCAGAGGGAATGAACAGTAATGTTTGAATATGGCCTATGTGAATTAATAATAGTGTGTGTGGTGAGACTAAAATAGATACAAAATTAAATGAAAACAAATGACGCAAATGTGTCATAGGTGGTTTTCTGCTGACATACTCCACATCTGTGCCTGAAAAGCATGTGCCAATTCATAAGCCACATTTCTCAGACCTTCTTATATCTCAATGGAATATGAATAGGAGTAATGTTTTGCATTTCTTGGTTGGAGCAGCTAAAACTTGTGTGAGCCTTTCCACTGGTGAGCTTAATGGAAAAGACATAAATAAGGGCAGGAGTACAATATGTAATTATTTCAGCATGAACATATGTAAGGCTACCCACAACCAGGAACATCTGCACTGGGATTTATGTGAATATATTAAAGCACTAAGAATTTAGAATCTTGTTGGTAGCCACATCCAGCATGAAACCATAAAAAAAATTGAAAAGACAAACCACTGATGGGGAACATATTTGCTGATACACTGAATAAGGAGTTAATATCCAAAATTTATAAAGAACTTATAACATCTAACAACAACAAAAAACAAACAGTCCAGTTAAAAAATGGGCAAAGAAACTAAATAGATACTTTTTCAAAGAGGACATACAGGTCCTCTTTGAAAAGAGCATATGAAAAGATGCTCACTGTAACTAATAATCAGAGAAATGCGAATTGAAACCACAAACCACAATGAAAGATCATTTCACACCTGTCAGAAGGGCTCTCATCACTAAACCAACAAACAGCAAGTGGTGGTGAGGATGTGGAGAGAGGGGGAATCCTTGTGTACTGTTGGGAATGCACATTGGTGCAGCCTCTGTGGAAAGCAGTCTGGAGTTATCTCAAAAAATTAAAAATGCAACAGCCTTATGACCCAGTGATTCTACTTCTGGAAATTTATTTGAAGAGCCTTAAAACATTAATTCAAAAGAATATATGCACCCCTATTCATTGCAGTGTTATTTATAATTGCCAAGATTTGGAAGCAGTCCATGTTCATCAGTAGAAGAGCGAATAAAGCAGCTATGGTACATTTATACAATGGAATACTACATGGCTGTGAAAAAGAAGAAATTTTACTCTTTTACCTTTGTGTCAGCAAAGGTAAATGGGTGGACTTGGAGAACATTATGCCAAGTGAAATAAGCCATTCAGAGAAAGACAGACACCATAAGATTTCACTCATATGTGGTATCTAATGAACAAACCTAATTAACAAGGAAAAGAGAGATAGACTCATAGGTAGAGAGCTGGCTGACAACTCTGATGGGGGACAGGTAGGTGGGGGGGATTGAGCAAAAAGGAAAAACGAACGAAGAACTCATGGATATGGACAACAGTGTGGTGATTGCTGTGGGTAGGGTGGGTGGAGGTGGAAGAGGGAATGGGGGGATGAATGTGATGAAAAAATGAAAAAACAAACATAATATATGGGTTGGAGGAGTGTAAATGGAGGGGTTTAATAACAACAATAAAAAATAAATGTATTTCTCTATACTGGAAACAGAAATTGAAACTTTAAAAGTAGCATAAAAATCAAGAAATTTAGGAATAAAAAACTACCAAAAGATGTATACAACCTCTACAGAGAAAATACAGCATTATTAGAGACAGTGCCTAAGGCCCTGGACTGGCAGACAATATTACAAGGATACTGATACCCCTAGTTGATTTACAAGGTAAATGCAGTCCCCAGTAAAAATCCTAGCAGCTCTGTGCATGTGTAAAATTGACAGGCAAAATCTACAATTTTTATGGTAATGCAAAGAATTAAGAATAACTAAGGTCATCTTGATGAGTAACATAGCAGAGGGCCATACTGTAGCTGATAGTAAGATATATTTATCATGAAGTGTCAGTGATGAAGACAAGGTGACAAAGGGACCAGTGGAATAGAATAGAGAGTTTCAAAATGGTAAAACGATAGGCATGTAGTTAAGTTTTTACAAAGATGATTGTCATGCACTTGCTAGTGGATGATCTGTTTATTGAGCTAAAATTGGTATAAAACATTATGTAAGTTTTTAAGTGTACAACATAGTTTGACATCAGTATCCACTACAAAATGATCAACACCAAAAATGTGATTATAGTGGATTTTAAAAATAAATGTAATTTCGCTGCTATTCATAAAATATAATCTGTAGATTGTAGATCTGTATGCAAAAATTAAAAAACAAAGCCCTGGAAGGTGAAAAAGGAACATAGCTTCATGACTATGGGTATAGGGAAATGTAAGGTGGATACGAAAAACACTAATTATAAAGGAAATGGAGGAATTGGGCCACATCAAATTAGAGAAATTTTGTTTGTGAAAAGTCATTGAGAGGGTGAAAAGACAAGACACAGAGTAGGGAAAGTATTTGCAATGCGTGAGTAACAATGATTTATATACAGAATATGTAAAATGCTTCCACAAGTCAATAAAAAAGCTGATGCCATAGGAAATGGACAAGATACTTGAATAAATACTTCACTAAAAAGAGTTGCTAAATTGTAAAAAAAATATATATGAAATGCATGTCACCTTATGCCCCCCAGAAATGATAACATAAAAAAGACAGCTCTGAGTGTTCCATTCTCCTTGGCAAGGTAGTTATCTGTACACTTGCTGTATATATGAGAAGCCTAATCCAGGAATGTGGTTTTTCTTGATACCACTTACTATGCCATTGAGAAATACTAGCAGGAAGCAAATAGGACACTTAAACTTAGTATTTTGTTATGGGGTCACTTTGAGAGGTGGGAGGCGGGATATTGTGGACACAGCTCTCAGCGTGTATGAGAGTTGTAAGAACTCAGGTAAATTGAAGATCATGGCTCATATAGCCAAAACGCTAATGTGAACTCTAATGTAAAAGCAGCCCTTTTATATATTTACGGTAGCTTCTTACTGTGTTAGTTATTCAAACATTAAATCATGGCACAGCTTGGCATAGAATTAATATGCTTATGTCTCAATAAATTTCATAAGAAGAGCTTTAGCTTGTCACCTGTCCAAGGAGCTGCATTTACCTGTTCTTAAGTATTTGATAGAACAATAAGAATGTTCAGAATTACAAAACTATTATTTTAACACCCTTCAGTTATTTGTTTCATTTGAATTTTCTTTGTTGATAATGTAGTATTCCGAGGAGATAACTTTGGAGGCATTTTCTGTAATTGTCACCCAGATGCTGGGACTCAGTCTGGGAATATCGTATGATAACCCGAAGAAATGTTCATGTTCAGGAGCTATCTGTATAATGAATCCAGAAGCTATGTAAGTTTTTAAATAATAAGATTTATTTATTATATTTATTTTGGTTTAAATACTTGAAGGCCAAATACAGTATTTACTTATAGCATAAATCAGCTAAAAATGGACCAAGTACTATAAAATATAAGCATGAAATTTTCAGTGTAAGAAGAGTCCAGGATAACAAACCCAGTCTGTAAGATAATTAGCAAAGGAATTCTCTGTGGCTGTGTTTCAAGAAAGCACTTAGTAAGGATCTTAAAAATATGTCAGCAGGCCAAACAAGTGGATTTTATTTTTAGACAAATTTTTTGGTTTTGCTTTTAGAGTAGTTTAATGTTGTGGAAAAACTCAGAATGGGTCCTAGTTGGAAGTTCATATAAAATATATGATATTTGTGTGAGTATGGACAAATTACTTCACCTTGTTCAGTTATTTTCCTCAGCTTTAAAATGGAAATGATTATGCCTGTTCTCTTATTTCACAGAGTGATGCAAGAATAAAACAAAAAGAAAATGTGAAAGTGTTTTCTGAATTATAAAGTCCTATAAGTAAGGATGGATTTGTTAGAGTGCTTCTAAATTTGCCAGTGTTCCCCAAATAGTTTATCAAAGACTGGAGTGGGTGTTGTTAGCATTCTACAGTTTTTTTTTTTTTTTAGTTTGTGAAAGGGCCTATGCTAAGTAGGACCACCTCATAACTGAAGAACAATCAAAAGTCAGATGTAAAAATAAGTCAGATTAGTTTTTGAAAACATGCTCTTTTCATAGTTCCTTCTAAGCATCACTTGAAGGTTAATCTTGCATTCTAAAAATAGCTTAAACTCAAACATATATTATTTATATATATGCACATTTTATATCACAAATAAGTTCCAAATGGATTACATATGTAAAAAACTTTATACATATTCTATAATTGAAATCTCATAAAATTTTTCTTTCTCCGACTGACTTACTTCATTAGCATAATACCCTCTAGGTCTATCTATGCTGTTGCAAATGCTAAGATTTTATTCTTTATATCTTGGCTATTGTAAATAATGCTGCAATGAATATAGGGGTGCATATGTTCTTTCAAATTAGTGTTTTAGATTACTTTGGAAATATTTCCAGAAGTGGAATCACTGGGTCATGGCAATTCCACTATAATTTTTTGAAGACCATCCATAATGTTTTTTATAGTGGCTACACCAATCTGCATTCCCACCTATAGTACACGAGGGTTTCTTTTTCGACACAACCTTGCTAGCACTTGTTGTTTGTTGGTTTATTGATGGTAGCCATTCTGACAGGTGTGAGATGATATCTCATTGTGGTTATTATGTGCATTTCCATGACTATTAGTCACGTTGAGCATCCTTTCATATATCTATTGACCTTTTGTAAGTCCTGTTTGAAGAAGTGTCTCTTCATGTCCTCTGTCTAATTTTAATTGAAATATTATTTTTTTGTTTTAGTGTTGAGTAGTATGAGTTTTTTAAAAGTTTTAGATATTAACTTTTTATCAGATGTATCATTGGTGAATATGTCCTTCCATTCAGTAGGATGTATGTTCATTATGTTGATGTTTTCCTTTATTGTCCAAAAACTTTTAGTTTGATTAGTCCCATATGTTTTTCTTTTATTTTCCTTGCTCAAGGTTAATATCAGAAAAAAATATTGCTATAACATCTCTGACATTTCTGATGTCAGAGATGTTACTGCCTATGTTTTTCTTTAGAAGTTTTATGGTTTCAAGCCTTACATTTAAGTCTTTAGTCCGTTTGAGTTTATTCTTGTATATAGTGTAAGATGGTGACATAATTTTGTTTTTTTCAGATATCTGTCCAATTTTCACAATACCATTTATTGAAGACACTCTTTGTACCCTTTTGTCAAATATTAATTGTCCTTATAGGTGTCAGTTTATTACTGGACTCTCTATTCTGTTTCATTGATCTATATGTTTATTTTTATGTTACTACCATGCTGTTTTGATTACTGTAGCCTTATAGTGTAGTTATCAGGTAGCATGATATATCCAACTTTGTAATTCTTTCTCAAGATTGCTCAATCTATTCCATGTTTTTTAAGTTTTATATTAATTTAAAAGTTATTTGTTTTAGTTTCATGAAAAATACCATTGGTATTTTTATAGGAATTATATTGAATTTATACATTGCTTTGGGTAGTATGGATATTTTAATGATGTTAATAATTCTATCCATGAAAATGGTTATATGCTTCCATTTATTTATATTTTCTTTACTTTTTGGTCAGTATTTCATAATTTTCTGAGTACAAATCTTTTACTTGCTTAAATTTATTCCTAGGTATTTTATTTTTAATGCAATTATAAATGAAAATTTTTAGCTTCTTTTTCTGATAGTTCATTATTGGTGTAGAAAATGCAACCAAATTCTGAATATTTATTTTGTATTCTGATACTTGACTGAATTCATCGATCAGTTCTAGTAGAATAATATTTTGATGGCATTAGGGCTCTCCAAATACAGTATTATGTCATCTGTAGTTTTACTTCATTCTTTCCAATTTGGATGCCTTTTATTTTTTTCTTGTCTGATTGCTGTAGCTAGAACTTCCAGTATTATGTTGAATAAGAGCAGTGAAAATGCACATCCTGGTCTTGTTCCTGATCTTAGGGAAACAATTTTAGTTTTTTTCTGTTGAGTATGATGTTAGCTGTGGGTTTGATATATTGAGATATATGGCTTTTATGATGTTGAGATATGTTCTTTCTATTTCCTCTTTGCTGAGAGTCATTTTTTTCAAATCATAAATGGATTTTGGATATTGTCAAATGCTTTTCCCACATCTATTCATATTATCATATGATTTTTATTCTTTATTTTGTTTATGTAGTGTGTCACATTAATTGATTTGTGGATATCATACCAACCTTACATTCCCCAAATAAATCCCACTTGGTCATAGTGTGTGATCTTTTTATTGTATTGCTGAAGTCAGTTTGCTAGTATTTTGTTGTGGATTTTTGCACTTATGTTCATCAGAAATATTGGCCTTTAACTTTTTTGTAGTGCCTTTATCTGGTTTTGTTATAACAACCTGTATGATCCATAAATTCCTTTTCTGAGTATATAGTCCAGGGGGGATATATGTATATATATCCTCTACTATGACTGTATTATTGTCAACCTCTCACTTTATGTCCTTCAGTTTTCTTTATATATTTAGGTGCTCCTATGTTTGATGTGTAAATGTTTGTAAGGGTTATATCCTCTTATCATTATGTCCTTCTTTGTCTCTTACTATATATAGCCATTGTTTTCAAGATTTATTATATATGTCCCAGTTTTTTCAATGTCCATTGCATGAAATCTCTTTTTCATCCTTTCAGTCTGTGTGTTCCTTTTGTTCTGAGGTGGGTCTCTTGTAGACAGCATGTAGATAGGTCTTGTTTTCTTATCTGTTAAGCCATCCAATATCTTTTGTATTTTTTTAAAAAGATTTTATTTATTTATCTTTAGAGGGGAAGGGAAGGAGAGAGGGAGAGAAACATCAATGTATGGTTGCCTTTCATGCGTCCCCTGCTAAGAACTGGCCTGCAGGGAACTGGCCCGCAACCCTGGTATGTGTCCTGACTGGGAATCGAACCGCGATTGTCTGGTTCACAGGCCCGTGCTCAATCCACTAAGCTACACCAGCCAGGGCTATCTTTTGTATTTTTATTGAAATATTTTATTGGGGTGACATTGGTTAATAAAATTGTACAGGTTTCAGGTATACAATTCTACAACACATCATTTGTATAGTGTATTGCTGTTTACCACCCCAAATCAAGTTTCCTTCCATCACCATTGATCTCCCATCTAGTCTGTATTTTTACTGAAGCATTTAATTCACTTTCATTTGTTTATTATTTTTAATAGTTCATTTTAATGTATTTTTTCTGTTATCATTTACTCCCCATACCCTCTTCTACCTCCACCAACCCCCTTGCCCCCTGCAGTCGCCACACTGTTCATGCCCATGAGTTCTTTTTTCTTTTTGCTTGATTCCTGCACTCCTCGCCCTACCCCCTGGGGCTGTCAGCTGCTCTCTATCATGAGTCTGTCTCTGTTTTGCCTGTTGGTTCAGTTTGTTCATTAGATTCTACATATTAATGAAATCATATGGTACTTGTCTTTCTCTAACTGGCTTATTTCACTTAGTTCATTTACATTTAAAATGATTATTGATAGGTACCTATTTATTTCCATTTTATTATTTTTTTGGTGAATTCTTTAATTTTTATTTTAATTGTTCAAGTACAGTTTTCTTCTCTTTACCCCCTACCCCCATCCCTCCCCTTCTCCCTTCCACCTCCATCTCCCTTATTATTGTCCATGTACCATTTTATTCTTTATAACTATATTCCTCTTTTTTTTTCCTTAAAGAAGTTTCTTTAACATTTCTTGTAATACCAGCTTGGTGGTAATAACTTATTTAGCTTTTTCTTGTCTGGAAAGCTTCTTCAATTTTAAATGACAGCCTTGCTGAGTAGAATAGTCTTGGTTGTAGGTACTTTCTTTTTATTCCTTGGTCTATTTCATCCATTTCTCTGGCCTGAATGTTTCCCATGAGAAATAAGCTAACAATATTATGGAAGCTTTCATGTAGGTAGCTGTTTTTCTCTTACTGCTTTTAAGATTCTCTGTTTGTCTTTAGTTTTTGCTATTTTATTTATGGTGTGTCTTGGTGTGAGCCTCTTTGGTTTCATCTTTTTTGGGACTCTCTGTGCTTCCTGGACTTGTGTATCTTTTTTTCTCTCCAAGGTTAGAGAAGTTTTCAGTTATTATTTCTTCAAATATGTTCTCAATTCTTGCTCTCTTTTTCTTCTGGTTTGAGGGGATGCAATTTTGGTATATGGAATACATTGAAGAGAACATGGGCTTTGGAGTGTTCTTTCACTTGTTTGTTTGTTCATTTTTTCTAACTCTTAGTTTATTCATCTGAAAAATGAGCACCATGAGAGCTATATCGCACAGTTGTAAGGATGCAAGTAATCGAGATATGTAAGTT